CCGGCAGAGCATCTGGTGGATTCGAACCGTTCGCCTCTGGGATTGTAGTTGCAGCTCCTTGCCACTAGGCCACCAGAGCTCCCCGCTTGTGTGCTTTTAACTTTGTGTTTTGGCCTTGTTTTATAGTTTAAGAGAAAATGAAAGTGAATTAAAAACAACAATAACAAAAATAAATAACTGGTGACTAGAATATAAAAGTTGGAAATAAAGGATGATTGACAGCTGGAAAATATGGCCATAGTGACAGAAATGAAGACAGAAGCTAGATTGAATGGTAGACTTTTGTATAAGCAATGATTTGTTCATTGTAAATATTTTTGTGTGTGTGTGTGTGTGGGGACCAACCAAAAAACCACCAAAAACAAAAGAACAGCAACTATACACATGTATATCACCTGATGGATAACACAGGAATCAAGTGACTACATCTATGCAAAAGCTGATAGAGAAGCAGCTCAATAATAGCAGTCAAACAAGGTCTAGGCCTGACTGTTGAATAACCATTAATGACTCAAACTGCAAATCTAAAAATTCAAAGTTCAAATTCAAAACTGAAGCTGAAGAAAATGAAAATAAGTCCATGATAATCAAATTATCACTTTGAGTGTGTCTGTTGTTTTGTAACACTGAGTCAGAACCATACTAGAACTGACCCTCCAGTGGATTTTCAGAGGCAGTTAATCGCTTGGGAGGAGACTGTCCATCCTTCTCCCATGAAACAGCTGGTGAATTTGAACTGTGTCTCTTCGGGATTGCAGCACCATGAGACCTCCCTTTTAGTCTGTCTATCTCACATAAATTAAAAGCCATCTCAAGAACTGATTTCATGCATTAAACACTAATGACCTAAGGATAGTCAGGTTGTGGGATGATATCAAGGATATCATCCATAACGAAACCAAAAGGTCATTGGAAATAAAAGACCAAAGTGGATGTCAGAAGAGGCTCTCAAACTTGCACTAGAATATAAAGCAACCAAAACAAAGAGAAGAAATGTAGTAGTAAGAGAATTAAACAGAAGATTTCAAAGGGCAGCTTGGCAAGACAAAATAAAATACTATAATGAAATGTGTAAAGAGCTGGACTTAGAAAACCAAAAGAGAACACATTCAGCATTTCTAAAGCTTAAAAAAGAAAAGAAAAACAAATTCAAACCTCAATCTGCAATACTGAAAAATTCTAGGAGCAAAATTTTGACTGACAGAATAAGCAGCAAAAGAGGAAATGGGGGAAAGAAGAGACATGGAAGAAATATATACAAGAGTCACGGCACCAAACAAAATTGGTCCATAATGAACCACTTCAAGGAGAAGCCTTACTTAGGAGTAAGGAGGAAAAAAATCCAAGTTGTTCTGAAGGTAGTGACAAATAAAGCCCCAGGAAGAGATGGAATACCAGTTGAGGTGTTTCAACAAGTAGATGCAGTCCTAGATATATGCACTAGCCTTTGCCAGGAAAAATTTCACAAGTGACTAAAGAGATCCATTATTAGCTCCCCTCCCCAAAAAATGTGATCCAACAGTGAGGAAATTGTTGAACAAAATCATTGATATAACATGCAAGTAAAATTGTGCTGAGGGTTACTAAATAATAGCAGGAAAAACGAAGCTCTGGTGGCCTAGTGTGTGGTTCAAATCCACCAGATGCTCTGCTGGAGAAGGAGGGACAATCTCCTCCAGTACCAGTCAGATCAAATTTGACAGTACACACACAAATAAAATAATAAAATAAAAAATAATTTAAGAAAAAAATGACAGGAACAATATATTGACTGAGAACGGCCAGAAATTCAAGCTGGATTCAGAAAAGTATGAGGAATACCAGTGGTGGCATATGATGGATCTTGGCTGAAAGCAGAGAATATCAGAAAGACATCTTTGTGTATTTTATTTGCAGTCAAAAAAAGCCTATGACTATGGGGACCATAATAAATTACGGCTAACACTGAGAAGAATGTCTATCCCAGAACACTTAATTGTGCTCATGCTAAACCTATACACAGACCAAAAAGCCGTTGTCCAAACAGAACAAGGGAACACTGCATGATTTCAATCAGGAAAGGTATGTGTCAGGGCTTTCTCCACACCAAGTCACTCTGTGTCCTGAATAATTCATTAAGGAAGCTGACCTACCCATATGAAGAAGAACATGGCATCAGGATCAGAGACTCATTAACAACCTGTGTTGTGCAGATGACACAATCTTGCTTGCAGAAAGTGAAAAGACTTAAAGTAGAAGATCAAAGACTACAGCCTTCAATATGGATCATCATCAAGAAAAGAAAAATCTTCACAACTGGACTAATAGGTACACATCATGAGAGACGGAAAAAGACTGACACTGTCAATGATTTCACTTTACTTGGATCCACAATCAACATCCATGGTAGCAGCAGTCAAGAAATCAAAAGACACAAGGACAGCAGAGGCAGTTCCAGGCCGGAGTCTGTGACCCAGCCTTCCTAACCCTGTCTGCTACAACTGCAGGTACCAACTACAGTTCCCAGAGGTCTGTGGGGAAACACCATCTTTGTAAACTTGGACTTTGCTGGGAGATCTGCAAGGACAGCAGAGGCAGTTCCAGGCTGGGACTTGTGACCCAGACACCCCACACCTATTTGGAAGGAAGACAATCATATATGCCACATCTATAAGATTTATCAACCTCCCCTAAAATACTCATGTACCACTGAGGATTAAGTTATGTGGGGAATCAAACTGGTTTCTGGCCTGAGTACACAGGGCCCACTAACTCAAACAACTGGGAGATCCTTAGCATATCCAAAGAGTGGGGAAGCTATTCCAGAAAGGGAACAACAGACTTCCTCCATTATTTAGGTTCTCCTGAGGCCCTCCCCACGTGTATCAGTGTACGCT